TATGTCAGAACGGTAGCAGCACGTTTTGACTTGGCCATATATAATACCAAATATAGCGCATATTCTCAATTATTTAAAAAGCGTAGATGTTCAAATATTCTAAAAGAGTTCGGTATTTCAAATAAATTCATCTATTCCATTTTCTTCACCTATTTCCATTTTTAAACACCGATACTGTGTGTTAATTATATTTAGAATAAGTTGCAAATGGTATAAAACAATAAAAAAATGTCTTACGCACTATACTTTTTTTTAATTTCCCAAACATACGCTTTTAGAGTGACGATTTCCCAAAAACCGCCAATAAAGGCAGCATTACGACACTTTTAAATAATCGAAGATACATTAAAGATTCGATTCCACTACACCAGAACAGTAGCAGCACGATTTGATTTGGTCTTATATAACATCCAACATAGAGTATATTCTTCAATTTTTGAATAATGCTAAGTTTAAAAATTCATAAAGCTGTCGTATTTTGAACGAGCAAAAAAAATATTTGATCAATTATCCAGCAAATTAAGTTGAAATACAAACTTTTCAAATTCGTTACGTTCATTTTGATGTTAAATTTTAAAAACACGATATGTTTGGTAATATATATGACCCAGTCAAAACGTGCTGTTACTGTTCTGGCATAGTAAAGTCAAATATGTAAGTTATATGATTTTCTCCATATGTGTCGTGGTTCTGCCTTCATTGGCAGTTTTCGAGAAATCGCTACTCCAAAAACGATAATTTTCAAAATTTTGAAAATAATCCACAAGACGGCGTAAAATGATATTTCGATATTTTATACTTTTCGCAACTTATTTCAACTTCAATGAATTGATGTGTTAGCAAGACAAAAACAGTTTGATAAATTATCTAGTAAATTTAGTTTAAATATAAAACTCTTTTTAAATATGTTATGTCTGCATTGTTTTTTGAAATTTTGAATACACGCTATGAAATCGAATCTTCAATGTATCTGCTATTCGCCTAAAAAGTGTCGAAATGCTGCCTTTATTGGCGGTTTTCAAGAAATCGTCACTCCAAAAAGGGCATGTTTGGGAAATTAAAATAATATTATATAGGGCGTAAGACATTTTTCCATTGTTTTATACAATTTGCAACTTATTCCAAGTTTGTGTGTGTTTGAAAAAGTAATAAAACGGAATATTACATTATTAGGTGAATTTATTTGAAATACCAAATCTTTTTAAAATATGTGAACATCTGCGCTATTTAAATAATTGAGATTATGCGCTATATTTGGGAATATAAGGGAATATAAGCTATATTTGGCATTATATATGGCCAAGTCAAAACGTGCTGCTACTGTTCTGGTATAGTGAAATCGAATCTACAAGGTATCTTTTTTTTTCTCCGAATGTGTCGTGTCGTAGTGTCGAATGTGTCGTAGTGCTGCCTTTATTGACGGTTTTCGGGAAATCGCCCTTTCAAAAACGATATTTTTCTTAAATTCCGAAAAAAATCCACAAGAGGGCGTAAAATCTTTTTTTTTTTTGTTATTTTAAGATTTGCCACTTATTCCAAGTTTAATGAACGTACAATTTTGATGCATGACCAAGAGAGAAAAGTATTTGATGAATTATCCAGTAAATTTAGTTGAAATGCCAAACCGTTTTTAAATATGTTACATCTACATAGTTAATCAAATTGAAAATTATATGCTAGGTTTGGTATCATATATGGCCAAGTTAAAACGTGCTGCTACTGTTCTGACATATTAAAATCAAATCTATAAGGTATCTGCTTTTCTCCGAATCTGTCGTAGTGCTGCCTTTATTGGCGGTTTTTTGAGAAATCGCTCTTTCAAAAACGATAATTTTTCAAAAAATTGAAAATAATCAACAATAGGGCGTAAAATGATTTTTTTTATTTCATACTTTCCGCAACTCATTCCAAGTTTAATGGACGTACAGTATATATGTATGTCTAAAAGAAAAAGATGTTTGATAAATTATCTAGTAAATTTTGTTGAAAAACCAAATCATTTTTAAATATGTTACGTCTGCATTGTTTATAAAATTCTGAAGACACGCTATGTTTGGTATTGTATTTGGCCAAGTCAAAACGTGCTGCTACTGTTCTGACATAATGAAATCAAATTTATAAGGTATCTGCTTTTCTCCGAATGTGTCGTAGTGCTGCCTTCATTGGCGGTTTTTGAGAAATCGCCCTTACAAAAACGATAATTTTGTGAAATTTGTTAAAGAATCCACAAGAGGGCGTAAATTTTTTTTTGGTATTTCAGACTTTCCTCAACTTATTCTAAGTTTAATGAAGTGCATTATTGTTGTGTGACAAAGAGAAAAATATCTTCTTTGATGAACTATCCAGTAAATTTAGTTGAAATACAAAATCAGTTTTGAATTTTTTTGTATATACATTGTGCATAAAATTTAAAATTATACGCTATGTTTAGTATTATATATGGCCAAGTCAAAACATGCTGAGACTGTTCTGACATAATGAAATCGAATCTTTGAGGTTTCTACTTTTTACCAATGGTGTTGCAATGCTGCTTTTATTGGAGGTTTTCATGAAACGACCGTCCTAAACGACGAAAATTCAGTCATTTTAACAACACTCAAAATAGTATAAAAAAATTTTATGCACTGTAACAGTCGCTTTAGCTTGTTTACTATATATTAACAATACGAGTGGTGTAGTTAATGATTGTTTTGCGTTATTTGCTATCGTAAAACTAATCAAAATATACACTTTCTTTTGAAAATCATTGGGAACATTTAATTTTACGCGTGGGTGTTTTCTGCGATTCTGTCAGTCACATCTTCGTGTTTCGCTGCTAGCTTTACAGAGGTGTCCCCTACGTGTCCAATAATCTATTTTTCTGGACATTCAACCATTATCCTTCACTGTCCTAACTTCTGACATTCATTTTTATCGCTGCGTAACTGCGACGTAAAAAGGAAGAGTTTTCGATATGCCAGACGTAACCACGTCGTTGCGTAAAGATCAGACGTTAAATCGGCGTTGTAACTTGACATCTGAGCACGCCCTGCGTCATTGAAAGGTTATAATATTGGCGACGGATAGATTTGTTGATGTTACGCTCTCATCTTTAGAAGTAATAAATTTATACCAAACACAACACCAGACCAATTGTAAAGTATAATCATCAATTCCGCCTCGTTAATTAAAATCGAGAGAGGTCCCTGGAATTCTGTCAGAAATTAAATGAAATTTTTCTTCCAATAATTATTTTCACTCGGGCTGTATTCAATATTTGTCTCTTCTAATACAAGACCTTAATTTCGATAATCTGTGTTTAATAAGTCAGTAGACATATTGACATTGGAATTTCTCGCTTTTCGTTAATTCTTAAATTTTTGAATTATTTACGTCATTGATTACGTGAGACTTGTATGCCCATGAATTTAATCTATGTATATAAATATATATTTGGTTGAATAAAATACGGGAATGGTACAAAGAAAGTGCATTGCACGGGAACGCCGACGCCGTCTTTAAATAAACAAAAATTATCAAGTCGGCGCCGTGATGTCCGGAGTCAACATTCCGCGACACAGTGTGACGTCATCTTTGAAGTGAGAGAAAAATAATCTAAGTGAAGTTAACGTAAGTGTTGACGCAGCGTGAAATCTCAATAAATTTACGGAATTTATAATTCAGAATTTCAGGGATTACTTAAATCTCGTACGACATCTTGCGATCACTCTATAAATTATATACATAGTTACCGCCCTCTACCAAATGATGGTATTTTGACGAGTATAGCTTCAGGAAAAGCAACGCTCTGGCCCGTTGAATAGCGGGTAGTTTTTTTTTTTTGACTAAATTTCCGTTTATCAACAAAAACCTAACTACGCAATATTAAAATTGTTGATAATATATATATAAACATAACAGCGCTTGTTTAAATAATTTAATTTAGAAATATACGGGGCTTATTAGCCAAGATATGAATAGCAGTTTAAATTTTTTGTCCAAAGTTAGGATCTGTGCGAAGTTAGGAAATATGTCGGGCAATGCAGATCCAGAAATATTCGGCTATATTCAAAAAATAGCAGGTAATTACGAAACAATGGCTGTCTGTACTTTATCCGCAGTAAAGTTCAAGCCTCATAACTATAATCCCTTCTACCCCATCCTATTGCTGTTTCTCTATGCCTATATCACTACCAGTTAAAAACTGGCTTGTAGTTTTGTCCACTCACCAGATGTCGCTTTTTTCTTTTTTCGAAAAAAAAAAACTGCGACGTAATTTGATATTTATATCGAGAGAGTAAAGCCTATAATATGTGCCAAAGCATCCTACAAGCCTTACGGACCTTCAGAAGTATGCGCAATAGGATGGCGCACAACCTGAACATAGTATGTGTGTACCGGTTAAGATTCAGGTTGTGCGACATCACCATAGGAATGCGCACCAAGATAGCGCACAACCTGAACATAGTATGTGTGTACCGGTTAGGATTCAGGTTGTGCGACATCTCCAGAAGTATGCGCACCAAGATAGCGCACAACCTGAACATAGTATGTGTGTACCGGTTAAGATTCAGGTTGTGCGACATCACCATAGGAATGCGCACCAAGATAGCGCACAACCTGAACATAGTATGTGTGTACCGGTTAGGATTCAGGTTGTGCGACATCTTCAGAAATATGCGCACCAAGATAGCGCACAACCTGAACATAGTATGTGTGTACCGGTTAGGATTCAGGTTGTGCGGCATCTCCATAGGAATGCGCACCAAGATGGCGCACAACCTGAACATAGTATGTGTGTACCGGTTATGATTCAGGTTGTGCGACATCTCCATAGGAATGCGCACCAAGATAGCGCACAAACTGAACATAGTATGTGTGTACCGGTTAGGATTCAGGTTGTGCGACATCTTGGTGCGCATACTTCTGGAGCACCTTCAATATTTTACACAGATTTTAGGTTATTTAATAGGAAAACTCAACTATAAATTATGCTAACTTACCTTGAATCTCCGCCAACTCTTCATTCTGTCTGCTACTTTCCTCTGGGCTTGGTTCGGAAGAACTTTTACCCGAGATTTGAGAAGGATCTGTAACAAGAACATTGAATACGTTTACATGCTGACACGACACAACCTGTTACTTGAGACTGAGAGAATGAACATTCAAGAAGGAAATATTGCTTCTTTAAATCTATCAGCAACCCTAATATTTTACAGACTTTTCTATAATTTTGCATTTACTCTCACGTTTTACTGCGCCTATTTATTTGTATTTTCCTATTCATGTGGATAAGAAACAATAAATACACATATTTTGTGCTGTCTTTATCTAAACGAAAATTGTGAAGTCGGCGCCGTGGTGTCAGCGTCAACATTCCGCGGCGCTTGTGACGTCATATCTGAAGTAAGCGATAATGATCTACGTGAGGTTGACTTAAATTTTGACGCAGCGTGATATCTGAATATATTTACGGAATCTATGAATCAAAAATTTACTTTAATCTCATACGACACCTTGCGGTCACTATAATTAATAATGTACATTGCTAACGCCCTCTGCGAATGATTGTATTTTGACGAGCATGGCTTCGGAAAGAGCGACACTCAGCGCCGTAAATAGCGGGTAGTTATTTTTCGGCAAATTTCCGTTTTATTGACAAAAACTTATTTATGCAACAATAAAAAAATTGATAATAGATTTACAAGCAACATTGCTTGCTATAGTAATTAACATCAGCAATATACGGCGCATATTTGCCAAGATATATATACCAGTTCAAATGTTTTGTCCAAAGTTAGGATCTGTGCGTAGTTAGGAAATATCGATAGGAAAATTCCTAAAATCATTTCTAACCTACCTTGAATTTTTGCCAACTCTCGTCTCTGTCTGCTACTTTCCTCTGTGCTTGATTCGGAAGAACTTTTACCCGAGATTTGAGAAGGATCTGCAACAAGAATATTGAATATGTTTACATGCTAACATGGCGCACAGCCTGTCACTTGAGACTAGGGAAATGAACATAAGAAGAAAAGTATTGCTTTTTAAACCTGTCAGCAACCCTAGCATTTTACAGACTTTGCAATATTTGAGCATTTGCTCTCACGTTTTACTGCGCCTATTTATTTGCATTCATCTATTCGTGTGTATAAGGAACTGTAAGTCCCGAGTAATTGACGAATCAAATCGTAAGCCATTGCCAAACTTCACTTTAAAATATGTTCGGTTCCCAAACCCGCATAACTGTGACGTCACACAGATAATTTTTTATATATTACATTGTAATATGTTTGACCGTCAACTGTTTTTCTCGTCTGTTTGTGGACTCATTTACCACTGATTCCCGGACAATACTGACTTGAATTGTGTCAACCTATCGTCACAAGAATAGGCCAATACAAAACCGCCGCGAATTTATGCATTTAATATTTCACTTGACTAATTGAAATAAAACTAATAAACAATACTTGATACTTACTCATCTTGGAAACAAGTCTTAGGTTCAAGTTATTTTAAACGTTGCTAAAGTTTATCTGAGCTGCGAAATATCGGCTACAAAGCCATGAAGATAAAAAAAAAATAAAAATTTAAGTTTTCTGATCATCAACTTGTTTCTACTCCAATGTTTCTGGTCTCAGTATTCAATAGAGATCATGGTATGGACAATTGGGTGAAGCATAAGGTTGGGCCTGATTATTACTAATGTTAACTTCTCAAACTAATTGTTTTTCTCGTCTGTTTTTGGCCTTCTCATTTACCACTGATTCCCGGACAATACTGACTTGAATTGTGTCAACCTATCGTCACAAGAATAGGCCAATACAAAAACGCCGCGAATTTATGCATTTAATATTTCACTTGGCTAATTGAAATAAAATTAATAAACAATACTTAATTCTTACTCATCTTGGAAACAAGTCTTAGGTTCAAGTCATTTTAAACGTTGCTAAAGTTTATCTGAGCTGCGAAATATCGGCTACAAAGCCATGAAGATAAAAAAAAAATAATTTAAGTTTCCTGATCATCAACTTGTTTCTACTCCAATGTTTCTGGTCTCAGTATTCATTAGAGATCATGGTATGGACAATTGGGTGAAGCATTATGTTGGGGCTGATTATTACTAATGTTGGGTTAAAGCCCCAACACCCCCCCCAATAGTCTAACGAATTGGATATGTACAGAGACATCAAAATTATGGTTCCACATAGCTCATATCAAACATATATATAATACATCTATACTTGACCTATAATTTATTTTTTCGTAAAACAACATTTATAATTTGTTAAGATGGCATCTTTATCATAAACTCGCCCTGGGCAACAAAAAAGTTCGCATGCTCGTACTTATAGATATTATGGGTCCTTGCTTAAAAAACACCCCAATGCGGCATAAGCATGTGACAAACCACGCCTTTCGTCCGGTCAGCATTCCGGTTATGGAAATAGGTAATCAGGTATTCTTTCCATATGTATGAACCATTCTATACCTTACTTGGGATGATAAAGCCGTGCTTAACTCGAATTATAAGCTTTCCCCGCCTCAAAGAAATATGAATGAAAACTATCCTATTTTGATAGACTGTCAACTACCGGTACGCTATCACTGAACTATGCTATAACCGAACTATGCGATCCCAATATCCGCTTTCCAACCGAAAGCCAAACGGCAGCCAGTCCCTCTCACACAACGAACTAATGAACGATATTATAAGACACATCCAGAAAGCCTTGTTTCGCATATTAACCCTCGATGACGTCTATCACTCTCCATAGTATCCGCTACATTCATTAGCAAACATATAAAGGTAAACAAAAGGTTATAAAATATGACGCTCTAATAATTATTAACCAATTGTTTTATCTGTACTGTGATAGGTTGTAACGGGATTTAAAGTTTGCGTAAAGCGAGGTCGCAGAGTTTAATACGCTGGTATTCGAGACAGAATTTTCAAATATTCGAGCCGATATTTCGATCCTTACTTTATTCATACATCTCATACAAATAGCTGAGTTAACCATTTCCAGTCATGGGCGGGAGACAGGGGTAGTGGTTAATCTTAGGGTTTATTCATCACATCGCCTAATCCATCAAAGCCAAAGCATTCACCGTCTATATTAATTGTTATTCTGTCTTTAATTTTTAAAAGGCTCGAAAGGCAAAAAAGTGCAGACTGAACTCTGTAAGCAAACGCTCATCGCAGTAATACACACGCATAAGACAGAGACTTGTATATTAATTTGTCTTTAATAATCAGAAATGTGCAAATTGGTGACAAACTGAGAAATACCGGGAAGAAGAAGAAAATAACAGTGCAATCACAGCAATTAAAATTCAGTCATGATTGAGCAGGTTATGCATAGCGCTAGTGGGATTTCTGGGGAACGAGGGCCTTGGTTGCTAGAGCTTCGGACCTGGATTGGACCTACCACCTCATCCAGAGGGTAATAACTTGAGAATTCAAATTCATGGTCAGAGGACATGGTACCAAAGTATAAGTATCAGTCAAGGGAACTCCTGTAGTATGTGTACCAGGTTAAGCCATAATTTCATTCCGATTTTAGTTCTATTACAAGTTTGTTGACTGTCTGTGGTATTCAAGTGAATATACACCCTGCCCATAGGCGTGAATCCCTTTACACAACTTGATGTAAACTAGGATAACAAAATTAGTTACCTCCATATGGGTACACGTATTTCTGGAGTGCCCAGACAAATGCTTGCCTAGTGCGTGGTTTGGAGAGATTGTAACGAAATGCCATAAAAATTTGTCATATGACAAATATACAGTGATAGAAAGAAAACTACATATTCGAGTCATTTTCCTTGCAGTTCATGGGAATTTAATTCAAAACAAGTTCAGAATGATTGCTTGCTCGAACCCTTGGTCAGAGCAAACAAATACGTAATCATGGAACATTTACATCTCATATTGCTTTACGTTTTGAAAAATTTTCAAATTCTTATGGCAATGCCGGCCGGCCTAATTATATAGAGACATGACCAGTAACATTTGTTGAGGGGGAAAGGACAGCTGACAAAATGGCCTGATTATATAAGGGCCATGGTCGAACACGACCTTATTGTCATGGACTTAAACTGAACTAATACTCCCAGCCATGGGAATATCTGGCAACATGTTTTCATCTATTTGCTCTTTCAGAGTTTTTTGTCCAACAAAACCTCTGTCCACACAAATCCACAATACTGGCCAACTATGATGTAACAATCCACAATATTGAGTAATAATCGCAATGTTTGCAGTTGCTTTCGTTCGGGAATATTAAAGTATGGGTGTAAATTTTGCCTCGTTCACGTGGTTTGGCCCCTATTTGTCATATTGTGTTTCAAAAAATTAGTTGTAAATCAACTAACTCAAATGTCATTATAAGAAGCTTTAGTTGCAACATTCATGAATTAATCCCCGTTGCGATAGACTAGTCTAAAATTACATACCAGTAACCTATGAGTAGCACACATGGTCGAATATTTTTTCAAAAAACTGAGGCTTTTATTAAACAGGCAAATCAGTTTGTGAGTACCAACTGTCCAAAACACTCTTAAAAAAGACATCAGAAATTTTCCAATAGAAAGTATAGGAAGGAATTTTTCTGGGGTCAAGGGTCGAGGAAACATCCAATACATCTGGGTAAAATTGTCGACATAGGAAAATCGTCACTTTGAAAATGGGAACTTCACTTCCTAAAAATTGTCTGAAAATTATTTCGGCAAGATTTGATCGGTCAAGTGTGGCAGTCACGGTTCAGTACTTCTCACAAATGATCCAAAAGTCAAGATTTTCATCGCTGTGTTCATTGGACAGGAACAGACGGAATTCTTCACAGAGATCTCGAAAATATAACAGATATTTTAACTTAATCCAATAGGTTGCCAGACTTAATTCTGCCTCTACCACACATCGCCGCTTATATATCTCAGCTGCCCAAAACCATGCCCATGACGTCACTAGGTAACTAGGAGAACTAGGAAAAGTCTGGTTATTTGAACAATTTTAGCTCTTTCCAAATAAGCAGCTCCTTTTAAATATCGCTTATTACTTGTGCCAACCTTGTGTAGAGTAAAGGCTATTAAAATACCTTTTCACAACACATGAAACTCTTTGATCATTTCGAACCCTGTCATGTGGAAATTTCGATTTGGAAAAACTACGATCATTTTAAAAACACACTGGCTTTCAAATTCATTAGTTGCTGCTTGTCTAGAACCTCATTCGGAGAAATCGCTTTATAATGATACTTTTGATAATTTTAGACGCAGACATGAAGGATCCATCGATACAAAATCAACGACTGCTTGTAAAAGACCTAAAGCGAAGGTGTGCATACATAATGAGAAGCGTTTTCACCAAACGAGGCAAATACAAGCATTGACTGGCATGTAGATCACTATCTTCGGGAGGGCGGAATTATTCCCAGTTTGACATCACAATATATTTTACATCCCAGGTGATGTAGTGGCGCGGGATTTGAACTAAAGATATGTAACATTGTTATGTCATACATAAAGGGTACCCAACCTTTTAAGGCTCGTGGCCCTCTCCCGGAGGCTTTTAGCACTCATGGCCCCGCTGTTATTTATTCCAGTGGTATATATGGTTATTTTGATTGGTAAAATACAAAGACAGTTCACGAACTTGTAATAGAACTAAACTAAAGAAAATCTAAATAAAAGTATGGCCTAACCCTAACCTGGTACACATACTACGGGGATAACCCTAGCTTGTATCTCGTCAGATACCAGCTTCTAAATTAATGCATTCAATATACTTACAATTTTCTCTGCCTTTTCAGATTTCCTTAACTGGAGATGTAGCTTTCGCAACTTCATTATTCATACAATTGGTTTTCTCAGCTTTTGTCCTTCCCGAATATTCATATCCCTCAAATTTTTCAGTCTCATTCAGCATGAATTCGCTTCTACTTTTATTCCGAGAATTTTTTGTGAAGATTCCAAAATCAAATTGTTGTTTATATCGCCGTGTTTTACTCGATCTGAGTTTATTTCGAGTCAAAGTTTGTGATAACTCCGGTGTTTTGTCCTCATTGCTTGAGAGAGAAAAATTACTTTCATCTAAATTAGTAGTCTCGACTTTGATACCATCAATGAACTCCTTGTGATGTAACGATGTGATGGTGTCATCAGTAAATCGTCATAACTGGTTGCACGGTCCTGTGCCATCGAGCGCAATCAGTTTTTGCCCATTTTATTTTAGTTTCATTTTTTCAGAAAAATTCTGTTTTGTGGATTCATTTTCAGCCAGTGAAGAGAGGAGAAATACCCTGACAGGCATTTGGTCGTGTTTAGACATCCGATACGGGTTTGTTAGTGGCTGCAGAGGGTCTAGTTTCACTCTATGTACTTTATCTCGATACAATGACGCTCTACAAGGTCTACGATTCAGGTCGTTTTCCTGAAATAAAAAAAAGTTGAATTCATGTTTCATATTTCCGGATTTCGAATTATGCCATAGTTGAAGTGAGTCAGTAGGGTACGCTTTCCAAATTCCAAGAATGTCCCGTAATTTGGTT